ATTAGTCATTTGGTCTTTTATATAATTAAATGGTAAGAAAACTGTGTATTCGCCTACTTCTATAAACTCCCTTCACATAAACTTGTTCAAAGCGATTACATATATATATATATATATATATATATATATATAGTCTCTAAACGATCAGCTTCCTAGACATACTGCTAAAAATAGTCGAATAAACTTTGAATTTAATTAGGAAGATTTTGTTTCGGCTTCATGCAGCCAAATATATATTGGCAACAACATTTCAACAGTAATTGGGAGAGGGAAGCTGGCGTTTTCCGACTACTATCTTCGACCATCTAATATCAAAACATGGGACAAGTGATACCAGGTCACTTAGATTAATAGCTACATATTCCAAATTGATCTATGGAATTTGTTACATCCCAAGGAAGAAAAAGTGAATGGTAACTGCTAGGAATTATTTATGGACTATTATTACATATATTCTTATTGTAGAATTACTAAGTAACTAGACTATATATACATTCGTATTTCTTTCATTTGACATATAAGCTATTGCGATACAAATCCCCATTCTTAACTTATTCCTGATATATTAGTTACAGTTTCTCACACTCACAGCCACTTTTGGCCTGATCTTGTATAACTGTTATTTTCTATTTCATGGTATGATTCGATCTGATTTGTTTGTATTTAAACTGCGTATGCTTGAACGACGTGATACATACAGTGGAAGCTGAAATTGCGTTCTGGACTCAACTGGCAGGGCAAGGCAAGAAGAACCAGTAAGAACTCAGAGTTGACTCTAGGCTGTTAACACGTCATTGGTTTGGCACAGGGTCAAGGTCATATAAGTAGGTCATCTAATTGGCGATTTAGTCAAGTGACACATTAGCAGGACAAAAAACATAACAGAATTCGATCAGCACAAAGGGGACTAAACAAACGTTATACTGGTTGCAATTCATTGGTAGATCGGTTGTTGAAATTCGAGTCTAAATCCTTAAGAGCTGTTACTATTATGCTTATAAAAATCCAGAGCCAAAAATACATAAACTGTGATCGCGTAAAATTTAGCCCAACTATAATCACAAATTCTTTATTCTGTAAAGTTTAATCAATTACTGGAACTTAGTCAAAAAAACATCAGTAATTTCATGTTATCATCGAATGGTAATTCCATAGACATCATGTTTATGGTTAACTTAAAATGTACCGGATACTTGTCCTGATTCAGTCAAATTTTACAACACAGGTACAACCAATTCATGCACCCCTAAACATAAAAAGGCATTACAAATTCTACCACCAGCAACTCTTTTGATAACCCAATAAAACTTTGGACAGAAGTTTAATATAAAGATGAAGCGATCAGAAAGTAAATTATGAATTTTTGTGCAAAATTCAAATATTACATGTTAAAGCGGGTTAAACTATCTGTTTCTAAGTTCTATTCCAAGACTGTCTTAATCTGAGGCTTGTGTTATTGATGACTGTCGTTTATTGCTTTCTTTAATAAAAGTAAGCGCATTGCATGCGCTGGATGGGTCATCGACTCACCTTTACTCTTGTTCTTCTCTTTTCAACCCCATCTCATTCACTCTGCACACTGTTGGTACCTTCCGGCTAGACAGGAACCGTTACACATATAACCAGTAGTAGTGCTCAGAATGTTCAAATTGATCAAGAAAAGTTATTTAGTAATATAATAAAATAAAATTCATACTGTCAATCTTATCAAACGATCAGTTATCTCTCTTCAAATAGTGTATGATAGGTGAATCAACACAATCCATTATTTACAACAACAAACTCTTCATTCCGAAACCATGCTTAACTCAATCACAGTATCTCTTATGAATGAACAATTGTGACCACACCTTTTGTATATCTGTGTGAAATTCACTCATTCATCATGCATTCTAGACGGTGTTGATTCATGATGAAAATACCAATCATTCACCCATCCTCCCAGTCTTCATTCTAAATATATAATGCTAAGTGAGGAGAATATGTGTACTTCTGGAAATCTATTTGATTTGTTATGATAATTCGCGAATATGGATAATCGATATGTATACTGTCGAATATATATATATATATATATATATATATATATATATATATATATATATATATATATATATATATATATATTGTTGATTTCTCCTTTTACAGATAGATTATTCTGCAGAACAATTCAATAAATAAGCAGTTGTTTCAAGCTCATCTCTATTGTATACTCTAACCAAATTTGTAACTATTAGTAATAAAATTGATGATAACAATAATAATGATCAGATGACTCTTCAAGCAACCCATTAATCAACAACAGAAACTAATCGAAATCAATCTTCAATATTAAACTAATGGGAAAGGGATAACCCTTACAAATATTAATGACAATCAGATCAAATGATCAGTTTGTTTTATTTAACAGCATTATTCTCTTATCATAATCTAAAATGGAAAATAATATTTTAATGGTAACAATAATAATAATAATAGTAATAATAACAATTGTGAACAATCAAAATTCACATGACTAATTGAATCACAAATAGGAGGGATATTCATATTTGTTTATTTATTTATTTATTTGAGTTGAGTTTATGTCATTGCCGCTGTGTCATCATTATGATTAACAATTTATCCAAGGGTTGTATTACTAGTCACTATGGTGATGATGATGATGACTGTGTTTTGCTTCATTATTTTAATTGTATACAATATACTTTGAAATAATAATAATAAAAAACAGAGTATTATAGAAAATAATGGTAACAAGAAAATATTTCTCAAAATGAAAAGAATTTTAAGTATAAATAATAATATTGTAAGCAAATATGCAAATGAAATATATATGGGAGGAGATTACATCATTTGAGTTCATTGATTCATCCATTTATTCAATCTTGAATTGTATATATGAATCTGTGTGTGTGTGTGTGTGTATTAGTGTAAGTGTAGAACAAATTAGTTTATTTTTTCCTTCTTTCAAATTTCCTCCCAGATTGATTTATTACTGGTAACATAACAATGAGGTCCATTGGTAGGAAGACAAATAATTGACATAAGTAATATGAACTTAATTAAAATTCACAAAAATGCCACATTAGTTTCCATATTTATACATATTAATAGAGAGCCAAGGTAAGTGGGGACAGAGAGAGAGAGAGAGACAGTTATACAAATAGACACATGTATACAACAGTAATAATATCTTGACATTTGACAATGCTCATTTCATAAATTACATGTTGATAAACAGACATATATATATATAGAGAGAGAGAGCCATATTGTTTATTTTTAGGATATGATATAAACATCAACAGATAATGGTCACATTAGCAGTCGTTAGATATCTCTGAGGTTACAATACAAACAAAAAAAGCTCCAAAAGAAATTGTAATATAAATAAAGGACAACAGAAAAACAAAACAGATTCTAAATAAAGAGATTGAATATTGTATTGTTCTTTTTTGTTCTTCTCTCGTTTGTTTCAAAACACATAATAATAGTAATTATAGTAATTCTGTTTTTCAATTCATTCTGAAACGAAATTCTACAGTTGGCAAGGAATATCGGTTTCCATAGTGATTTATAACAAAAATATCTAACTAAAGCTTTTGAACATTTAACAGAATCTTCCGTTGTTGGGATTCTTCACATGATGGTAGCATTGGCGATAATAATAATAACAATATGTACTGTAAAAGCATTTTATTTAGCAATAAAGATATGATAAATATATAATTTTTTCTAGATTTAAAAGACAAGGCAAGTTTGTGAGGATACAAAAACACAAACGGAAAATTGGGGTAGGATGAATACAAAATTATTGGTAAGGCAAGACAACAAATACAAAAGACTCAACGTGATCAGATGATGAGGAAGTGGTTCATCATTGTCATTTTCATCATCACCAATAAAAATTTCATATTCTCACCTATTGGCTTTTTTTTACATAAAGAAAGCTTATAGTGAGATGTAATTAGCGTAGGTGTGTGTGTGTGTGTGTATGCATACATCTGCTCAATAATAAGAAAGAATTTAACAAAAATCTCAATAGATTCTTTATTTTGTATTGAGCTCAGTGATAGATTCTACAGTGTTTATTATTATTATAATTAATCATTCAAGCAGACTTATTTGTTGAATAAGTTTTAAACAATGGAAATCATCTCTTCTTTTTTGTTTGTTTCTTCGTAAATAGAAAAGAATATTTCAAGCAATACATTATTGCTTAACGAAACGTTCAAACCAAACCTGATCAATAAAATTAATTTTGTGTTCTTTCTAATCAAATACAATGATTTTCTTGTTTCTATACATGTACATTGAAACATATACTTATGTATATGTATATATATATGGATACTATCTCTCCAAGATTGGTAGTAGTAGTAATAATAATAATTAGTTAGTTGGTTAACTGACGAAAAAGAAATTTGTTTTGTTTCCATGGTTACTTTCAAAAAGATACTGATTGTTTTTTAGGTTTATTGAGAAGTTTTATTCAAATTTTTTTAAAAAAATTACTATGTGCATATTATTTCTCAAAGCAATAAAATGAAGTTGACAATAATTGACAAATAATTAAGAACAACAATAAGTTTGTAAAGAGAAATTCGAAAGTTAATACATATGTATGTATATATATATATTCAGGATGGTTTGAAACATTAGTTACTTCCCTTGTCATTTTCAAACTTTTTCATTCTCTCAATATAGACTCACATATTATACACACACACACACACAAATACATTTAACAGTGATTATTTACCAAAGATCAAGAATGGGGGTGGGATGAGGTGGGGGGTTAGGTTTTGGATATAGGGATTAGATTAATATAGGACACTGTTCCAGATAATATATTTCATCGTCATCATCATCATTATGGCATTCTTGTATAACAGATGAATCCAATTAATTTGATTAGTAATAACTGGGTTGATGAATAAAAGATAAGATAACTTCAATAACAGAAGTTGAAAGTGGAGTTGGGTAGAGCTATTAAATAATTAATAGTTGAATTTCAAGCCATTTAGGACTCCATGCAAACGAAATATACTTAGATAATAATTATCATTATTATTGTAGATGCTATAAGAACAAAAATAAAAGAAAAATCAGCTAATATTGTGATAGGAAAAAATATAAAACAAAGTCGATAACATTACCACTTAATCGATTGGTACAAATCATGTATGTAATTCTTGACGGGTTTATTGATCCCCATACTAGGATGACGTAATACTATTGAGTTTTCGATAGTTCTTCGGTTGGTACCATTCCTTGAGGAAAACCTGATAAGAACTCAAATTCTTATACGCATATAAATAGGATCGTTAAACTATAAAGTTCATTAATCAGGAATATACTTTATGTCAATAAAACCAATCAGTTTCTTTTTGGTCAATAGTAAATTATAATCGAGACAATATGAAAATACTACAAACCTAACATTTGACAAATACAAGATGGAGAACTATAATCAACTAAGGTCAACTTTAGGGTAGTAAGTATTCACTTGTACCGATATTACAAATTCAGTCAACTATTCAGCATTGTTATTTTGAAAAGTTTCGTACTTATTAACAAAGAGTACGACCACGACCAAACCATCCAGCTCAGAGAACAAAACTCCACCAAAATCATCCACCTGAGCTACAAATCTTCTCCACCATCTCATAACAAAGAGTACTGACAACCTTGAAGAAACTGAGATCTTAATTATATCGTCCCTGTGAGTTATAAACCAAAGACACTATCACATTACTTCTTAACCCATAGTGTTATACTTGGACAACAATTTAGAATCTACCCAAGCTAAGAGAAAACAAGATTTTACGTTACACTCGGCCTATTTACTTCCGATTATAATATGCCTCAGTTCTCATTACTAATTAATTTCACCACATTTCATTATATATGCCCCCAAATGCCCTGGTACAGCCGAGAGTAAGGAGATTCCGCTCTCCCTCTCGAACTGCTCCCACATGGTTACGCGTATATAGCCTCTGCCAGGGAAGTCCTACTCATTGCCTTCTCGTGGAGGGAGTATTGTTTACGAAATTGAGAGGATGAAAAGCGAATGTCCGGCGCTTTAGCCGGGTTGTGGACACGGAGAGTCCACCTAGGGGAGTTGGAAAACCTTGACTCCAAACCAATGGTGCACATTAGTCCCGGTACCCAGAGGGAACAAATAACGTACGAACCAATCGTTGGACACCGGCTACCATGTGACTGCATCTCCTAACGATGCTCCACTGCCTTGTGCATCAGACCTTCGGGCCGAAGGCTCCGGATGTGGCCCCTCAAGAAAACCCACTGCTTCGGTTTGGGCAACTGATCAGTATCACAGCCCTCACATAAATCAAATGAGATTTGTGTGGCGCATATGTATCTGGTGCCCCCTTGTACTAGTATTTTTGTGTTCAAATAATAATAATAATTTTATTATATTAAGCGAAAATGAACTTTTCTTTTAAATATGTAACGAAGAGAAATAAATAATGATGAAATTTAAAATAAACCCAATATAATAGGGAATATCTATCAGCGCCAAAAGTACTTCACTATTTCATGACAGTCAAAGTCAATCCGACTATTTTTAAAAATCATTTTCACTTAGAAGTCAAAAACGTAACATCTGCTAGTATTCATGATAAAAAATTGATTAATAGGGATAAGGAGATGTGACCCATGAAAGTGAAATTCACTCATTTATCATGCATTCTAGACGGTGTTGATTCATGATGAAGATATCAATCATTCACCCGTCCTCCTAGTCTTCATTCTAAATATATAATGCTAAGTGGGCAGAGTATATGTACTTCTGGAAATCTACTTGATTTGTTATGATAATTCGCGAATATGGATAATCGATATGTATATTGTTGAATATATATATATATATGTTGTTGATTTCTTGTTTTACAAGTAGATCAATTTGCAGGTGACTTCAATAGATCTTGGGAATAATATAACAAGTCGTTTATAAACTTAAGATATAAAGTTATCTACTTCTGAATGAATGCATTTTTGTATTTTTAATACTCTAACTGTATGTCTTTAGAAAAGTCTTAATCTGTATAAGGCTAATATAGTATTCAAGTTTCTTTAGTTTTGTAACACGATAAATTCTCGGTTGCTCGTAATCAGTATGTTACTGACAGAATAATAAGTAGCTTGAAGATTTAAAGGTCATTTTTAGCTTTGTTCCCATTCGGCCGATCAATATACTGAGTCTGCCCTTCATATTTGATAATCTAGCAAAAAATAACATAATGAAGTTCGCTTAGATTCGAAAGAAGATGATGACAAAGAACAACATTATTACTATCAAATTCATTTGACTTCAACATACACGTAACTCAGTGTCTTAATAACTGTTATAAAACTTTAAACATTTTAATAATATTCATATGATCTTAAGTGGAATTTCTGTCAGTATTCATATATACTGAACGATTATAAATACTTAAGAAAATATAACCAATTCATTTAGATAAATAATGACGGTACAAGTGAATATGAACTATCAAAGAAAAAGATATTGTCATGTTAAGTAAATTAGTGAGGAGTTCAATACTAGGACGAAACGGCCGACCCACGCTTCCAGGTTTTCCATGGTGGTCTAGCTTCAACTGACTCGTGAACTCAATTATCAAATTAAAAATTGTTATGAATAATGAATATTTAGCATAGCAGATGAAAAAAAAATACATTGTTCTCTGAAGTAGTTATTAGATAACCAAGTTTACAAGGCAGTATAGATACAAATATATAAGAACTTTCGTCTAAATTTGATTGAATAGTTTCACAGTAATTGGGCGCCTAGTTGATGTGGGACATTAAGGAGGAAGAATACATTTGTAAAATCTCAGCAAATGAATTTGAAGCAAATCCATCGTTTTGCCTGGTAATCTGGTCCAAACTTTTTCAAAGAAATATATATACAAAGACATTCTTCCTCTTTAGTATATATGTACGCTGATAGGAACCCTGATTTATGATAGGATATGTATCAGTGTTATTTAACAATCATTTCTTATGACAATCAGCTACTCACTCATTTCTTATTTTTTATTATTATGGCATACATGTACATGTATTCAATTTATTGCCATTGTAAGCATCATGTGACTAATGGTTTTGACCTTGAACAATGTTTGCGAAAAAGAAAGAGTGAAGAAAAAAAAACAGGCTGATTGTGTTAAAAGAAACATTGAAAATTTCACTTATCATTCATTTAGTAACACAAAAACAAACAAGTTAGAATAAACTTGTTAATGTATATGTATCGGCTACTAGGGGGATGAAATTTTAAGGGTAAAGGAGTCTAATGAACAGTTTTAGGATAATCAATGATTTCTATATATATATATATAGGCTGCCAGTCTAACTTTGTTACCTAATTTTCAAATACGCGTGGGTAAAAAGAAAAAAAAACGAATGAATGGAGGATAAGAGAAAATTCAGTAGAATCCATAAAACAGAATCTGCACCATTGGTTGACTGGATAGACTTGGCATAAGTTTGGTAATAGTAACCTAATCTAATGATGTAATAAACACTGAGAAAATTTGTTGATGCATAACATGTAAGGACAGAAATTGATGGACAGAGTGTTTTATATGTTCAGTATTATAGGCAGTGATGAAATAACTAGCTTGTTTTATAATGGTAAAAAAAGGAGAGAGAGAGAATAGATTACAAGTCAATTATTGTTGACCATCTACCAATTTATTCTTATTATTAAAACTGTATGTGCCTAACAATTCCCACTATATTAGAACATAGACACACTGACAAAGGCTATTCTTTTAGATAAATTTATATTATAAATTCACTTGTTGTTTTACTTGTATCTTCCCATCGTTATTCAGGACTGCAATTGATCAGTCTCATGTTGGTATATGTGTATCCTGTGTGGATTGCCTCGATATAGCCTTAAGTCACAAACTTTGCACAACCAGGTGGCTATCAGAACTCAGTAGCTATGGGGATAACGCGGTGGCGTTTGAAGCGAACGGTACTGCTTTCGAGTCTCAGAGTGAACATCGACTTTGCGATGCAGATACATCCAGCTGACGAGTTCTAAATAGGACGACATGCCTGTCCTGGATTCCACTGCTAGCCACTAACCATCTTTGTTCAAAATTCATATTATGTCTCACACTTGTTAGTCCAAGTTAACCATCCAAAAGAATATCCAAGTTCCAATTAAATATATCTTTAGGAAACAGAGGATAAGTAGTACGTATCAGTAATCAGATGTAGAATGTCTACCACCGTAAAATGGAAATGAATAGAAAAGAAAGGGAAACAGTGAGTATTTGAAATAACAACAGAATTAAGAGAATCATGAAGGATGTAAATAACAACTTAATGAAGAAGTACAAATAGTGCACTGTAATTTTTCAGCAAAAGCTAAATCGGTTTAACGTACCTGAGTCTTCCTTCACTACAGTAGTAGTAGTAGTAGTAGTAGTAGTAGTAGTAGTAGTAGTAATAGTAGTAGTAGTAGTAGTAGTAGTAGTAATAGTAGTAGTAGTAGTAGTAGTAGTAGTAGTAGTAGTAGTAGTAGTAAATGAGAATGTCATGATTAAATAGTTTGACATTTCGGTACTCAAATCGCAGGAAAATAGGCGTTGAAAGTTCCTCAATGTCAAAAGGCGAAGTATGTTTATGAATAAGCAAAGGTTAAGTACAAAAGTACCAAAGAAGATATATCAAATGGTCAAGCGAGGAAAAGATTGAAAATTATCACAATTGTTTAATTTTTTTCTTATCCATAGGTTATTTGAAGATAACATAAATTTATTTTCAATACAGAAAGACAAAGATTGTTGACTGGATTCCCCATCGTTTCCAGTGTAAAAGATAGGTTTGATTCATGTTGGAGTAAATATGATGGAATAATTTAAATGCTTTAATTCTACCTTTCACAACGCTATTATTTCAAACAAATGTGGTTAAACAGAGCTGCATATGGACTTTTTCGAATATAAAGAAGGGTCTTATGCAGAGATGGATGATGGATAGCAGTGGAATGCAAAACACACGTTTCTTCCTATCTGGGACTCGTCAGCTGGATG